CCTACCAGAGGACGCAGACCTGTCCAGGGGGAACTGGAAGAACAGAGCAGCCACTCACGGCCTCTGATGAAACTCCCATCCTACTCACAACCCCTCCTTCCTCACTCTACAACCGTCCATGGCTGCCTTGGTTCTTCTTGGTGTTCTCCAACTGGGCAGGGGCACTCAGGCTCCCTGGGGAGCTCATTCAGGATGGAGACCAATGACTCCAGGTGAGCAGCTTTGGGCAATCTGTACCTCTCACCAGCACTCCTGATTTCTCCTTGCTGGGGGTCCACTAACTTTCAGAACGAAGGTCGTTCTCCTCAGCCCCTTTGTCCACATGCCCAGATGTCTTTCTGTCCCCTGAGCACATTCTAGGTCTTCCCACCCTCTACCTTGACTCACACTGGTCCCCGTTGTCACCACCCAGCTATCCCAAGATGTCCCCTCCAGCAAGACCAGCTTGGACCGCATCTCCAGGAAGCCTTCACTGACCCACTGCCAAACAAAGCCTGTCCCTGTGCATTCTGAGCGGTCCTCTTCCTTGCTGCTTATGGGGGCGCTGATGTGTGTGCTGGTGGTGGTCCAGCGACGTGCAGGTTAGAGTGAGGACTCCAGAGCAGGACACCCTAGGCCACATCCCAGTCATACGAGCTTGGGCAGGGGGCCCTGTGGAGAGCCTGCATCGAGAGGCTGACGGGAGGACGGCAGAATGAAAGCGTGCAAAATGCTAACCCAGGAGCGCTGTCTGTTAAGTGTCTGACGCTTGGTTTCAGCTCAGGTCCTGATGGCAGGGTCGTAAGATCGTGCCCCGCAGGCTCCGTGCTGAGCTCAGAGTCTGCTCAAGGCTCTCTCTCTCTCTCTCCCTCGTCCCCTCTTTCCCACTCCCTCTCTCTCTCATAAATAAATAAATAGATCTTTAAAAAAAGGTCAAAGGCTAACACAGTGCTCAGCGCAGAGTAGGTCCCACGTAAATGTTGACCAAGATCATTTCCTTATCCTTCTGACAACCATATTGACTATTTCATCTCTACCTACATTATATGCTCTTTGAAGACGGGCTGGTTTTAATCATCGTCTTCATTTCCACCGCTCAGGGACACCACATGCCACAGACTTGCGGTAGAGAAGGTGAGGCTGTCCGAGTCCCCACCACCCTGGCCCGGAAGCGGGGACAGCCCTAAGCAGCCATTCAGTATGAGGGGAGAAACCAGCCTTTGCACCTTGTCACCCTACCCCCCCCTCCCCAAAACGCACTCAGCTACAGCTGACTGGGCTTTTATGCTTCAGAGGCTGTGTCCCCGTTTCAATTCTCCTGTCCCTGTGAGGGGCCAGAAGGGTGAAGTAGAAGGTGTACTGGAACATGGCTTCTTCCCTAAGCTTCTGTCTCCCAGACACAAGGGGTCAGGCTCAGGAGGCACAGAGCTGGAGCCCACCCAACCCGTGCCGGCCACGGATCGGTGCCCACCCTTCTGGGGTGAGTTTGAGCAAGGCTGTTCTGGATTCCCTGGCAGGCAGCTGCGACTGAATGCATTGTCCCCGCTCCCTCTGCCCAGAGGATGCTCAGAGCATTAATCAGACCTTCTCTCTGGATCTGTTGGGGATCCCTAATTACCCTCGTCAGAGGGCAGCCACTGCTAGATAATTTCCCAAACACCTCCCGTGCTTTTAAAATCAAAACCTCCCCTTGGCTCTACTGGACCCTAAAAAGAAGTGACACTGGCTGGTTGGAGCCCTCACTGAAGAAGGCCCAGAGGCCCCCATGGCTGGGTCTAGACAGGGAATCCTGGCTAGATGCCTCCCGGGAGCACCTCCAGACAGGATGGCAGGAGGAAAGGGACCCTCAGGAAAGGGCAGCTCCAGTCCTGCCTCTTACGTGCTGAGAGGGGGCCATGGAGAATCGTGGGAGTGTTGGTGTCCCGTCTCCTCAGAGACCCACACAGTGGTGCACCACATGGAGACCAGGTACGACAGGTTTCATCCACATACTGAGGGAGCTGAAACTCTCCACACCCTGCAGGCTCTGCCAGGAAAGCCATTTACTTACTGTTTTGTGAGCCCTTCTGATAAAACTCTCCATTCCTGGGTATTCTTTACTCTTTTTTTATTCTAGAAAGTTCTGGCTTTCACCCCACCCACTCTGCTGAAACGTTCTTAAATTCAGATCACCAGGATCGTGTTGTGGGCCCCAGAGCCTCTTGCTTGGACACCCAGGGCTCATCTCAGCTGAGGGCAGGACCCCTGACACCACCTCCTTCCCCATGTCTGCCCTCCCTTGCCCTGCCCCGCCTCCCCTTCCAGAAAGGGAGCCCCCTCTTTGTTCCCAATGCCCCCTTCTGCAGGGCTCCTCTTGCTCCAGAACCTGACAGAAGACACTGCAGCTTCCCAAATTCTCCTCTGCCCAGTGGCTGCTGAAACACATCAGTATATCCTCTGTTTTCAAAACGGCTCGAGGGACAAGTGACCGTGGGGAAGCAGCAGGACCTCGGTTTTCATTCCGAAGTAAGGAAGAGCTGTTGGGTGAACTTTCTCAGCTGCTGTCATGGCCTGGCCCTCATTTCTGGCTCGGGGGCAGCCTTGCCCCTGCAAACATCTTTCTTTTACTTTCCAGGCGGGTGTTTCAGAAGGAAGCCTCCCTGCGGCCCCACTTCAGGCCTGGGTGCTGCGGATTGGCAGGTGTTAATGACAGGAAATTCCATCCCATAGAAGACCGCTCATTTACATATCAGAGCAAACTCCCCTCTGGGTGACTCTGCTTTTGTGTTCCTCTGGCTGCCTCAGCCTCTGACTGGAAAATCGATCAAACCATTCTTTACTGATGACCTGCCTACCCAGAAGTGCACTTCTACAGTTTGGCTTGTGGCTGTAATTTTTTGAAGAATTTTTTTTTTTTTTTAAGATCTTATTTATTTAAAGAGAGAGAGCAAGCGGGATGGGGCCAGAGGGAGGAGAGAATCTCAAGCAGATTCCCTGCTGAGCACAGAACCTACGATACAACCCTGAGATCATGACCTGAGCCAAAATCAAGAGCCAGACGCTCAACCGACTAAGCCACCCAGGCCCCCCTAAAATTTCACTTTTTTATTTAATTTAATTTAATTTATTTATTTGACAGAGATCACAAGTAGGCAGAGAGGCAGGCAGAAAGAGAGGAGGAAGCAGGCTCCCTGCTAAAACAGCCCAATGTGGGGCTCAATCCCAGGACCCTAGGATCATGACCTGAGCCAAAGGCAGAGGCTTTAACCCGCTGAGCCATCCAGGTGCCCCTAAAATTTATTTATTTATTTATTAAATTTTTTTAAAAAAGATTTTATTTATTTATTTGACAGACAGAGATCACAAGTAGGCAGAGAGGCAGGCAGAGAGAGAGAGGAGGAAGCAGGCTCCCCGTGGAGCAAGGAGCCTGATACGGGGCTCAATCCAGGACCCTGGGACCATGACCCGAGCCAAAGGCCCAGGCTCAATCCACTGAGCCACCCAGGAGCCCCACCTAAAATTTATTTTTTAAGTAAGCTCTACACCTGACATGGGGCTTGAAGTCACAACCCTGAGATCAAGAGTCGCATATTCAAGGACTGAGGCAACGAGGCACCCCAGTCTATCTGTAACTTTTAGGATCACACTGAAACCCCTAACAAACCACCGTGCATACAGTAACATGGATAAATCCAGCTGCTTCGTGCTAAGTGAGGGAATTGAGACTCAAAAAGGGGCGAGGACTCCATGTATATGGCATTCCATACAAAGCAAAACCGGAGGACAGAAAACCGGGATCGCTAGGGGGCTAGGGCCAGGGCGTGGGGGATGGGTGATGCGACAGGGACATGAGGGAATCGAAGAAGTTCATTTGGGTGGGAGCATTGAGGCGAGGGAAGGGGTACGCTGTGGTCGCTTCCTCTTTCCCCCTTCCCTCCACCAGTTTGGGTCCCTCCTCTGAAGAAATACGTACCACAGAGGAGAGAGAACTGCCATCATACTGTAGGGCTCTCGGAAGGTTTGAGCAAATAGTTTCTAGATTATTGATCAAAAGCTCCTGGTGGGTATTGGGGCTTCTTAACTTTTCATCTGCGTGAGCCTGGGTCTGTGAGAGTTCCTGCATCAGGAAAAAGGGCAGTTCAAATGCTGAATGGTGAGTTTCATCAGCAGATATCAAGACCATCCCTGGGCTCTCCCACTGGACCCCTTCCCTCCGAATTGTCTCACCTTAACCCCCAGACAGGTCTGCCTTCTCAGTTTAGAGACTGTTCCGAGTCATCCGAATGGACACTCCCAGGTTACACTGTTGGGCCAACTTTCTGGCCCAATATGTAAAGAACAATTTCCAAGTTGCCCAGCTATATTTTCCATTCTATTCGAAACCACGTAGCTCTCCACCACATCTTGTAGGGAGGGCTTCTGTCCCAGACCACAAATCCTTGAGCAGTGGCTGAAATCAGCAAGGACATCCATGCCCTCAGAAAGACACTCTGGAGCTCCCAGAATCCTCTGGGCCAACCAAAGCTGCACCCACTCTCTGTTCAGGGTGTTTCTGTATGCCCTTCACCTGCACCCATTACGGAGCCGGCCTTACCCGTGGTCAGCAGGGGCTTGGCGTCCCCAGCTCTGTAGCCGCATTAATTCTTAACCTTCAGCATCACAGTAACTGGCTTGATTTCAGATGTGTGGCCATTGCTGAAATTCAGCCGCTGGATCAATGAAATTCCAGGTTCTTGTCATCACTCCGTTGATGATGGTAATGAACTTGAGTTTGGCTCCTAGGCATCCAGCTTCTGACTAGATGAGGGCAGATTTGTTTGGCAGGGTGATGCCACGTTGTGGTGGGAAAGCCTTCCTTCCGGAATGTTGGTCTCTTGCCTCCCTACCCACAGTGGAGAATCGCTGGGCCTCAGGGAAGGCTCCAGAGTGGAAGGATCCTGGACGGAGTGCTGTCTTCGGGTGGAAAGAAACGAGAAGGTGCTGGGGAGAGAGGGTATGTCTGCACAGGGCTGCTCATCAGAGCTGGGGGTTTTGTCTTCCAGGGTTACCTGTCGGAAGGGTTGGTGACTAAGTGGTACCGCTCGCCGCGCCTGCTCCTCTCCCCTAACAACTACACCAAAGCCATTGACATGTGGGCCGCCGGCTGCATCCTGGCTGAGATGCTCACGGGGAGAATGCTCTTTGCTGGTAAGTCACTGCCCGTGCCATCTTCCTTCTCTGATGTTCTATAAAAAGGGAGAACTGATTGAAAGGGGAAAAAAAAGGGAAAAACCACACACACACACACACACACACACACACGCGCGCCCCTAAAAAAAATTAAGACAAAAAAAGATGGTAACCACAAAACATCCTAGTCTTTCTCTTTAAAATGACCTGTATGGCTTAATGGACCTACTTGGAAGCCCCTTATCATTTCTGGCAAGATACCAGAAAGGCTGAAAATAGCCTTTTGAGGGCAGAACTTTCAAAGTCAAGTAACGACTTCTATTCAGACACCTTGGGATTGACCACTGGAAACATCCATCCTACATTTTCAGACCCTTCCTCTTCTCTCCCTGCCACTGTAAGCAGCCAGTCTGGAGTGTTCATTTGGGAAGGGGACCGCACAGGGGCTCCCAGGGTCCCTGAACTGACCCTCTGTGAGCCGGCACAGGGGGAGGCCAAAGGGACCGCTTCCAAACAGCCTGAGCCACGGGCCCTTGCTGGGACAGCATCGCAGAAATCCTGTCCGCTCGGGGCTGCACTGGGCGTCGTTGGGGGACACGGAGGAGCCCCACCGTAGGACACCAGCTTCTGGCAGTTTGGAATCGGTGGTAAGGGACAGGCACGCAGAGCAGCTACATAAATCTGGGGACTTCTTGAAGATAGAAAGTGGGTTAAGGATTTAAACTGGTGGAAGTGAGTGGAAAGGTTATCAAGCAAAAAGGGAAAATGGAAGCAGTGGGAGTAAGAGCAGCCTGGAGGTCGAGGGGGACAGCGAGGAGAGAGACCTGACCCCTACCAGGAATGCCACCGCGCCGAGAGAGCGTCAGTGCTCGGGCGGCAAAGATGAGTTGCGTTTCTGAGACTCATAAAGACTGAAGCTTCTTATGGCCGAGCATCCAGCCTGAGGCCTGCCAGGGAGAAGGTGCTCAGTAAGTCGACATTTGGTGAAGGAATGAAGGAGCACAGGCGTGAATGAATGCCTGACTCTGTCCTGTCCCAGCACACTTCTCCACGTACCTGGCATAGCCTGTCCTCCTCCCCTATGCCTCAGGGAGCACAAGCCTCATTCCAGAGCCAGCTGGTTATTTCTGATTGTCCCCCTCCTCGTTAGGGTCCTTCTAATTGGATACCCAAAAGGCGAGGCTCAGTCCTTGTTTTAAAATCACTTCCTTGCCCAGCCCGGGAAAGAACACGCAGAGGTGTCTGGGACGGAGCACTGGGTCCAGACGTTCCCGTCACATTAGCTCTGCTGACTCAGTCTGTATCAGACGGGTCCATTCCAGAGGCAGAGACACTTGTCAACGCCAAGCCCCAGAGATGGCAAGCAACCTGCCTGCAGTCACACAGCAGGCCAGCGGCCGAGTGAAGACCCAAACCCGGGTCCCCTGGCCGCCGGCCCGGTGCTGCTCCCACCGTCCTCCCGGAACCACCGTGGGGCTTCCACCACACCAGCCTCTCGGGCAACGCACTTAACCATGTGGTATTTGGCTCCCTAGGGGCTCACGAGCTGGAGCAGATGCAGCTCATCCTAGAGACCATCCCCGTGGTCCGGGAGGAGGACAAAGACGAGCTGCTCAGGGTGATGCCCTCGTTCATCAGCAGCAGCTGGGAGGTGAAGAGGCCGCTGCGCAAACTGCTCCCCGAAGTGAACAGCGAAGGTACCTCCGCCTGGGGCCAGGCCAGCCTCCGGGAGGCTGTGCTCCGGCTTACCCCAGGGGCCCGGGCGGGTGGTCAGCTTCCAGAAGGACCATGCCGAGTTCCTAGACAGAGGGGTCAAGGCCATGCCACTGCAGCAGGAGTTTGCCCCAGCTCCTTCCAGAATGAGCGTCCCTGGTCCCCGGAGTTCCGCTGCCAGGAGACCCTCAAGGCAAAGCCTGGCGTCCTCCAGAGTCCTTGTCTTTGCTTCCTTTTCCTTCTCGTCTTTCTCACTCACCTTCCTCCATCTCCTCCTTCATCTCCCCTTTCCTTGTTTCCCTTGATGATGTGATGCAGAGAACGTGGGTTTTATGAGCTTCAGACCCAGACCCAGACTCATTGCCCAATTCCATTGGGGAGTAGCTGTTTGGCCTTGAACGAGTTTCCTAACCTCTCTCCCTCTGTTTCCTTAATTGTAAGATGAGTGCAGTGATCCGTGTAACAGGGACATTGTGATGGGTGAGTGAAATAGAATGTGTAAAGCCCTGGGCCTAGGAGAGTTGCTCCATCAGCTGAATGTTAACATTAGAGCCATCTGGGTGGCTCAGGCGGTTAATCCTCAGCCTTCAGCTCAGGTCATGATCTCAGGGTCCTGGGATTGAGCCCCGTGTCAGGTTCCACGCTCAGTGGGCAGTCTGCTTCTCCCTCTCCCTCTGCCCCACTCCCTGCTCATGCTCTGTCTCTCCCTCTGTCTCTCTCTCAAATAAATAAACAAAATCTTTAAATAAAATGTTAACATTATCACTGGATCTCACACCTACCAGAGGCTTCTTGAGGAGACCCCTCCCCGTGTTAGGTAGGACACAGGTTCAGCCAATTGGAAGAGACACCCAAATTTCTAATGACTTTACATAAGATTTCTTTCTCATTTAAGAAAAAAGAAGTTAGGAAGCTTATTTCTCTCTTCTGTAGTAATCACAAAGCAGATAGTCCAGGGCCAAGATGGTGATCCTGCTGCAAAGTCATCCAGGGGCGCAGGCCCCTTCTGTCCTGCTGTTCAGCCATCTTAGGGTGCTGCCCTTACTACCCGGAGGAAGATCGGGAAGGGGGGCAGGTCCTCTTGCCCTTAAGGTCATGAGCTGGAATTTGGACACCTCACCTCCACTCACGTTTCATTGGCCAGAACTCAGTCCCGTGGCTCCAGCTCGCTGCAGTGGAGGTGGTGAAATAGAGGTGTTTATTCCACGCCACTTTGTGTCCATTATTACGAATGAGACCATCAAGAGACCAAGAACTTGGATCACCGGTGTCTTCTAACAATGTCCGTGGCCATGATCCCCGCTCAACCATAAGCTGCCTCAGTTTTCTCTTCATGAAAGGGGAGGAAGGATCATTTCATTCACCACAAATTAAGACTCAGCCCATCTGTATTTGAGTCCCAGGGCCCTGTAGACACCCCACCACGAGACGAGACGGGCATTCACCTCTCAGGAATTCCGGGTCAGGGACGTGTCACCATGTCCCCTCCCCCAAGCAGCCACACACACAGCAGCCCCTCAGTGCCCTGGCTCTCGGAGTGGTGGGCTGTGTCTCCACAAAATCAGAATTGGTCCTGATAGGAGATGAAGCTCCTCATTATCATCGGCAGCATCCCCCAACGTGCCTTAAGCCCCCGCAGTGTCAGGGATGGAAGTTCCGAGACTCGAGAGGTGCTCTCGCTGGGAAGATGGTGAGAACCAAGATGTGAGGGGAGAACAAAGACTAAGGAACGCATCCTAAGGGGCCAGCGAGAGCTCCACCTATTTGGGGAGAGGAAGGGAGTGGAGAGGGACAGAGAAGCTGGCCAGGGGGACACGGTGAGGCCTGGACCAGCAGGATGAGTCACAGACCTGTAGGTAGGAAGTGAGGCTGGAGAGAAGAGCCAAGAGGCCAATGACTTTGGACATGATCCTGTAGCTGAACAGTGTTCACTGAAGCTGGGCATGATCCTCTCTCCCTACGTGCCAAAACTCAACTCCAACCAAAACTCCCTCGCCGGCCTGTGGCCTTGAAAAGCTGGCCTTAAAAGGAGGTCTCCAGCTGACCTCTGGCTTTAGGAGAATGAGGGGTCCCCAGAATGAAATATGGGTCGGGGGAGAGCACCAAGGCCACCCACCTAGGAGAGCTGGCTGGTGACTTGCAGTCCCTCCCTTTTCTGTGCATCCGAGGCCCCGCAGGCTGGGAAGAGGCAGGGTCTCTCCCTGGCTGTAACCTGCAGAGGCTCAAAGGGCGGCCTAGGTGACTCTGTCCCTCAGTGGCTGACAGAGCCATCAAGGCAGGACGAGGGAGACAGGCCCCAAGACCATCATATCGAGGCATCAGTTCTGAGCTCCGTTTACCCTACAAAGTAAAGGTGTCACAAGTGACAAATCTGATGGGAGTGCTCTGGGTGAAGCAGGTTTGGGGCCCTCAGGGCCCACCTGCCTCTCAGTCACCAAAGATGCCCCTGAGGATCCTTCCAGAACCCCGGGGGCTCTGGAAAGTCCCGTTTGAAGTTCACTGGGCCACAGGAAGGTGACAAGATGGTATGGAAGCCTCATATTAGAAATGCCTTCAGAAAATGTGGGGAGGTTGAGCCCAGAGGAGTAGGGGGGTGGGAGGGCTTGGTTTCTGCGTTGAGAAAGACAAAACTAGTGCCGTGGCAGATACATCTGGGAACTCCAGGAAGATCTGCTGGCGGTGTAGACACGGCTCGCCTCCCGTCCGGACAGAGTGGGGGAGCCTGGAGCTCTCCCAGAACCCAGGCCGTCAGAGAAGTGTCTGCCATCTTCAACACTCAGCCTTCAGGGGGCAGATTTAGTTTAGAGACCAGAAGGGATTTTCTAGTCTTTAGGCTTCTGGAAGTGTCTGGCACCTGCTAGAAGACCAGCTGTCAGGAAAAGGAAAGAGGAGACTCATCCTCACTAGAGTCCATGTGGGGCACTTCAGGGTTCGCTGGGTCTTTGTTAATAACAGTGATGCCGGTGATGATGCCTGCCCATGTCCAGAGCTTCAGCTCTCTCCTGTCCTTGTCAGAAGGTCCAGAGTAATCAGCTGGATCGAGGGAGGGCGGCAGCCCAAAGAGGGAGAAGCTCGCCCTGCCCAGAGCCAGGCAGGGCCGGGGCGGACTTTCAGGTCCCAGCCCTGACCCAGAGGCTCCCCCTGAGCCTCTGAGCTCTTGGCGGTGATCGGAGTTTCTGCTGCTTTACTGATCTTGCGGTCTGGGCTTACGGAATGGCACCACGTCCTCCCAGGAGGCTGCGGCCTTCCGGATCCCTCAATTTCCTGAATCATTGATGAATTTTGCTGCAGAGAGACCCAGGGCTGGGGTGAGGGGCAGGGCGGTGGTGGCCGGCTTGCAGCCTTTCTCCCCTGCCACGTGGGCGGTAACACGATTAGCCCCGCCGGGATTCAGGTGGGCTCTCCTGCGCTGAGACGTGATGCAAACCTCCAGGCTAGACCTTGCACTGAGATGAGCCGGGGCAGAGCCCACAAGGCAGATGGCTGCCCCTGCCCCGCCTGGAGAAAGGACACCAGTCCCGTGCGCAGAGCTGGTGTGTGGCCACTGCGTACCCACGCCGCCCGACTGGCTACCAAAATTTCGATGTACTTTCATGCTGGCGGGCAGCCAGCCACCGTGCAGGGCTTCGGAGTGTCCCTTCCTGTCCCCAGGTTCCAGTGCCTAGGACCTCCCCTTGATCTGGACCCTGGTCCCCAGGAGGGCTTCAAGCTTGGTGGTTAAATATTTTAATATCAAGCCTGCTGTTGTTTGTCAAACCTCCAGGCGCAGCCTGTGGTAGGAAGGCAGGGCCAGGGAGCCCTGGGCTATCGGGCCTGTCCCACCTGCCTCACCTTTCAGTGACCTGTCTCACAGGTCACTGCCGGCACCTGGGAGCTAAGGCTCCCCCGGGCACCCCAGCAACACACAATCTGTAACCAGTGGGAGTGGGTGTAGAGACACCGCAGCTCCCCCCGACTCCACAAGGGAGCCACCTCTGAGATGTGTCCCATGCTGTCTCCTAGAGGACGCCCCCCCCCCCCACAGTGGGACTGAGCTCCAGGTGTCCTGCTCATGCGCACAGCCCCCTCCCCTGCCAGTGCTTCCAGGGAGGGTCACCATGTACTCACCTATAGCCCAGACCAGCCTAAGGCAGACTCCTAGCCCTGTACTGGCTCTTAACCAACAGCAACTGGGACAAGTCACTTTTCCCCACTGGGCCTCTGTTTATTCATTCGTGAAATCAGAAAAGCAATTATCTACTCTGAATTTGCACTGGATTGTGGTGAGGATCACAAGAAAGGAGAATGGCTGAAAAGCTTTCTACAAATGGGAAAGTACCAAAAAATGTCTCTGCTAGGCAGGGCAGTGAATGACTTTCATGTCCTGTTTTGCTCCCCGCAGCCATTGACTTTCTGGAGAAGATCCTGACCTTTAACCCCATGGATCGTCTAACAGCAGAGATGGGGCTGCAGCACCCCTACATGAGCCCGTACTCGTGCCCGGAGGACGAGCCCACCTCGCAGCACCCCTTCCGCATTGAAGATGAGATCGATGACATCCTGCTGATGGCTGCCAACCAGAGCCAGCTCTCCAACTGGGATAGGTACGGTTCCAGGGGCCTCTGGCTCTGGAGTGTAGAATCCACGTTCTCATCCTCCCGTTTCTGTTTTGCCTCTGATCCTCTGTGACCTTTCCCTCTACCTCCCAAGCTCTATACCCCATGGGGTTCTTTCCCCACTTAGCTTTCTGCCTTTCTCTCCTGTCCCCAGGCACTCCCAGCAGGTGAGCGTGTGTGGGTCGGGAGCCTTCCTTTGTGCAATACGGCCACCACCCCTGTCCTCCCCACCCTGAGTGTTCTAGAGCCAGGGCTCTGTACAAGGTTCAGCGACATTTAAGGAGTACCCGTCACTGGAACTCTTCTGGCAGACTGGGAATATGCCCTAGAAAAGTAGACTGCACCAGCGCACAGAGAGGAGACAGTGTGACATTTACTACTACACAAAATTTCACATGGTCCTCATTATTGAAACCTCCCGAGAGTGCCATGAAGTGGGGTGCCATTATCACTACTGCTCAGTGACACATGAGGAAGCCACAGCTCAGAGAGGGTAGAGACTAGCGTCAGGCCACACAGCTAATGCCTGCCTCCTGGGGGGCCTCCTGGATTTGCATCTATGTCAGACACTGCTGAGCAGTGACAGCACTCTGGCCTGCCAGACTGGGCTGAGCCTCCGAATCCTTCCCAACACAGTGTACCCGGAAGTCACTATCCGTGATTCAGCATTGGGTAGAACACACATTTTTTAACAATCTCTGTGTAGGCATGTTATGATTTTTCGGGACCCTTCCTGTTCTGACGTTGAGATGAGGCAGCTAAACATTTGGGCGTCACCATCTGCTAATCTGGGGCCAGGAGAGCTGAGAGCTGCTCAGTTTAGAAATAGAAGTCAAGGGCTTAGCAGCTAGGACTCCGAGGAGGCCTAAGTGGGAGCCCCGCTGCTGTGGGAATGTGACAGCTAGTTACATAAGTGACAGATGAGCAAGTTCTCCTTTTCAGTCATTTGACAGATGATAGATTTCTGCGTAAGGAGGCAGTGGGAGGGCCGGGGCAACATTGCTATTTTTGGACAGGTTTGTGGGTTTGTTGTTGTCGATTGTTGTTATCAAGAGTTGCCAGCAAATAGAGATTAATGAAGACCCTTCCTTCTGCCACCCCCGTGCCTTTCCCGCCCTCGACTGTGGTCCCTGCAGCCCCTCCCCCTCTGCGCCACAGCGCTTAAGGGCTCAGAGCACTGGCCCAGCGAGTCCCACCCCATGCTTATCACGGCTCTAGTGCAAGGCTGGGGCAGGAAAACTGACAGGGTTTCTTTAGCCACTGCCCACCAGCTCTGCCCATTTCTCAGCCTGACAGAGTTCCACTCCCGACTTTCCCATCACACCTTCCTGATGGAGATGGGCCATCCATGGCAGACTCCCTCCGATAGGCCCTCCTGCTTTGGGCAAATGGCTTAACCTTGGATGAGCGCCAGCATCACGTCCCAGTGGGGACATCGGGAAGGCAGCATGATAATGCTGATTCCACAGAGTCTCGTCCGAGACCTCCGAGAACCGGCGCTTGGCTCCCGGTGTGTAGCAGTCAGGGATTAGGGTCTTCTCAAGTTCTTCCTCCTAGAAATCTCGGCAGTTTCTAGGACTCTTGCGGTAAGAGGCGGTGTTCCCCCTCTGGGAGGGACTCCTGCCCTCGTGGTGTCACTGGGAGAGAGGGCAGCAGTCCTGGGGCCTCCCTGTGCCTTGTAAACCACATCGTGTGGACCGCTCCTCTGTGTCTACGCTCTCACAGCCAAACCTGCCTGTCTTTGGTGCGCCGGCTTTTCCTGTGTGAGCTCTGGGCATCCTGTACTATGAGCAGCTGGCTGTGGGCCACGGCCTTCCCTCTGCTCCCTGCCTCCCTCCACACGGTTCTGCACAGAGCACCTGGCATGGGGAGGAAAGGGCCCAGCTCGAGCTGATGGCCTGCACACCTGCCCTTCATTTGCTCTTGGCTAGCTGACTTTGTTCTCCATGGCTGCAGGACACTTGACAGCAGAATTCCAAGGATCTTTGGCCTCTCCGGAAGGTGTCTAGAACCTTTCCATAGATCCCACCTACACTGCATTGTTGCAGGGTGCGGGGGGGTGGGGAGGCATCTAACCAGAGCCCCTAAGGCAAGAGGTCTTAGCCCAGGCCGTACCTTAGCATCCCCTGGGGATGTGTTAAAACCATGCAGACGCAGAGCCCCAGTGGAGACCAGCAGAATCAGAGTGTGGGGTGATTCTAATCGGAGCCAGGGCCAAGGAGCACTCATCAGGGCTCCGCTGCTTGAAGTGTGGTCCCTGGACCAGCAGCATCACCTGGGAGCTGGTTAGAACCACGACTCTCTGGCCCGCCTCGAGGCTACTGGATCAAGAGCGGCAACTTTGCAAGGATCGCAGGCGATTTGCATGCCGAGTCTGAGGAGTACGGCCTTGGTGGGTCCATTTGAAAGGAGGTTCCACGAGGCCAGGGAATTTGTTGTTTGGTTCACTGCTGTGCCGGGCAGTGCCAGTGCCTTGTACTTAATAATGTGCTCAAGAAATAACTGTAGGATACTGAACGAGTACAGAAGAATACAAGGGTTAAGCCAAAAAAAAAAAAAAAATCAGTCCTTCCACCGGAGCCCTGGGGGGTGTGGGTGGGGGCGGTCACGGACCAGAGGGACAGGAAAGGAATGGAAAGGCTGTCTGTGCGCGGCAGACAGGGGTGCGGGGCCTTGGCTCCCTCGGGGAAGGCAACTCACCATTCCGTTTGTCTGCACCCTTGCAGGTACCCTGTGAGCCTGTCCTCGGACCTGGAGTGGAGGCCGGACCGATGCCAGGACGTAAGCGAGGTGCAGCGCGACCCGCGCGCGGGCTCGGCGCCGCTGGCCGAGGACGTGCAGGTGGACCCGCGCAAGGACTCGCAGAGCAGCTCGGAGCGCTTCCTGGAGCGCTCGCACTCGTCCATGGAGCGCGCCTTCGAGGCCGACTACGGGCGCTCCTGCGACTACAAGGTGGGCTCGCCTTCCTACCTGGACAAGCTGCTGTGGCGCGACAGCAAGCCGCACCACTACTCCGAGCCCAAGCTCATCCTGGACCTGTCACACTGGAAGCAGGCGGCCGGGGCGCCCCCAAGCACCACGGTGGCCGCGGACGCTGGGCCACGGGAGGACGAGCCGGCCAACCTCTTCCTGGAGATCGCACAGTGGGTCAAGAGCACGCAAGGTGGCCCGGAGCGCGCCAGCCCGCCCCCCGACAGCCCTGAGCGCCGCCTGTCTGCCTCTCCGCCCGGCTGCCCGGCCCCCATCGACGGGGGCGCCAGCCCCCAGTTCGACCTGGACGTGTTCATCTCCCGCGCCCTGAAGCTCTGCAGCAAGCCCGAGGACCTGCCGGACAATAAACTGGGTGACCTCAACGGCGCGTGCCTCCCCGAGCACCCCGGCGATCTCGTGCAGACCGAGGCCTTCTCCAAAGAAAGGTGGTGAGGGAGAGGGGGAGCTCCAGGCACCCCTGAGCGGAGGCCACCCGGGAAAGCCGGGCCTGGCAAGAAGGGGCTGGCCCTCCTCCCCGGCTTCTCCACCGTCCCTTGTACCCCTCTCTGCTGCCTTGGGGTTAGCAAAACACAGGAAGGATCCGAGGAGGGAGAGGAATGTCCATTTCTTAAACTGCCTTAATAACTAGCCTTTAACCTCTGGGAGCAGGTTTGAACAGGAGCCTAGTTTGGGGGTTGATCACTTTCCCAGCAAAGAGGGGGCCCTTGCTAGGTGGCGGTTTGCCGGGAATCAGTGTGTCTTAGACAGCAGTCTACAACCCTGGCCAGGTGCAGAGGAATCTTGCCGATGGTTGAAGCCATCTGGCCAGTCTAGCCTCACAGACAGAGGAAGGACAGTGAGGCCGGGAGAAGCCAAGTGAAGTGCTTACCCCCAGGGCAAGGCGGGGAGCCTGGTTCTCCTAGGCCAGTGTCTGTCCACTCTAAACTGTCTTCCTCTGCTGGGGGCCCTGTGGCTTTCCAATCAAAAACCTTGGTCCAAGGTGTTTCTTCCCTGCCATCACCATCTGCCCTATCCCATCTTTTATTCAGAGCAATGTTGCTTTATATTCCAAAATGGGAAACTGAGCTAGTTTTACCCTACAGACCAACCAGATATTTTCTGGTTCCTCAAGTACTTCAGTAGCCCCACCTGCCACACCCCCGTTTGCCTCATCCCTGTGTGGTCTGAAAACCTTGGCTCAGATCAGACCAGTGTGGGATCTGTGGGTCCAAGAGCTCATCTTCCAGACCTGGGCACACACCTCCTCCAGAACTCCCTATGCACTTTCCTGACACATGCACGGATGCAAGGTCATGGCCCCAGCTCCCCAGGGAGTGTCATACACAGGTGAGTTTGAAGACAGCAGTCCCAGTAACACCTGCAGCCCAACACCCAGTCCCATACATGGAACCCACCCGCAGACACGTACAGAACTCCTCTCCCAGCCCACCTCGGGAACTAATGTTCTTGGCACAGATTGCGCCTTTGGAGTAAACAAAGCCGTGAGGTACCCGCCATAGAGCAAATGTGTTAGGAGAGAAGATTTCACACGGGACCGATCATGCTTCGTGAATACTGACCTTGATTTTGATCATCCATTTAGCCCTGGCAAAGAGTGGTCCCTAAAGAAATGCATGAAAAGCAAGTGGCCTTGGGAGCAAGGTGGGAAGATGGGAAAGGCGGGGTGCCAACAGGAAAAGTCCTCAGGGGTCAGGCACCAGCGTAGAGACCCCAGGACACAGGAAGGTCTTCCAAGCAGCCATGCCCCTCGTAGCTTCAGGCTGAGTTTGGGGCGTGCACACCAGAGGTGTCCTCGCATTCAGAGCCTGGGGTGATGGTATAGGGGCACAGCAAGCCCTCTGCGGAAGCAGAGTCCATTCCCCGAAATGCTCTGCCGTTACCACCACTGGTATTCTCCCCCCAGCACCCCCAAAGATACCCACGGGAGGTCTAGCCAGTCTGCAAACAGAGGACTCCCCAGTGTTGGCCTTGGGCTGTGTTCACCCTCACCTTAACAGCACCTTAAACCTATCCACTAACTAAGAGTTGTACATTGAAACCTGCAACACGTTAGAAACTTATATTTAAAAACAAAATTAATCACACTGACCATAATTTTTAATGGAAAATATGTAAATATGAAGTGTTTGAGTTTCTTTCTTTCTTTTTTTTTTTTAAATAAGACAAGGAAATACACACTGCTCCTCATGTGCCACTTGTCCTCAGAAGGCGGCTTTACTTTTTTGGTAAAGGAACAAGCTGCTGACCCTGACCAGGAGTTCATATATAATTGTTATTATAGAGGAATTGTTATAACTACTCATGTTTTCAAAAGATCTATTAAACTTGATGAGGATGGGCCAAATAAAGTTTTATTGGAACACAGAGTCCTTTATTCATCGAAGTATGCTCTCATTCATTTACGTATTATTTGATCGCGTCTTGGGCAGTGGTGGAGTCCTTGGAGGGCGGCTGGCTTCTCCCTGAACCCCAGAGGGCAGGGTTTTGAGGGGTTGCCGTCGGCAGGGAGGGGAGCGGAGAATCTATACGGATTGGTAGTCGGGGGAGTGATTGCAGAACCGCCTGGGTCCTATAGATTTCAAACCATATCTTGGAGTTAACCCCAATCCTTCTGAGCAAGGCTAAACCTTTCGTCCAGCCCCAAAGGGGCCAACATCATGAGATTTGGGGGAGCCAACACCCACAAATACCTCCCCGAGCCACACTTCACAGGTACCCGAGAGTCCCCTCAACTGAAGTTCACCGCTTTGTAAGACCAGCCGGACATTAGCCGTGACCTCATTTGTTATTCAACAACTATAAAATAGGACAATGGAGGAGGACGGGGTGCCTGGGTGGCTCAGTGGGTTAAAGCCTCTGCCTTCGGTTCAGGTTATGATCCCAGGGTTCTGGGATCGAGCCCCACATCGGCCTCTCTGCTCCACGGGGAGCCTGCTTCCTCCTCTCTCTCTCTGCCTGCCTCTCTGCCTACTTGTGATCTCTGTCTGTGAAATAAAATCTTCAAAAAAAAAAATGGAGGGGGTTCTTAAAATGTGTTTCTGTCAATTTGGACTTCCCGGAAAGGCCCTTGAATTAAAAGATCTTTCTACTGGTGGGCTGCATTTAAGCCAAGAGGAGCAGCCCCGTTAAGGGAGTTGTGGGATTCTCTCCAAAATGGTAGCAGAGAGCGGCCATCTCTCTGCGGGGCAGAGGTGGATGAAGAGAGCACTGGGGGCGGGGGCCAGGGTCCTGGTGGGAATCTTACATTGGCCTTGAGGCCCAATTTGAGGTGCTGGTAGGTAGTGAGAAGCGGGGTTTGAGAAGCCCCAAGAGCAAACAGCAACAAAGGAAAGAAAAACTAAGGAGCAACCCTGAGGTTGACCCTTGAGCATTCCAGCTTTGAGCTGCCCGGGCCGCTTGGAGACGGATTTTTTATAGTGCGATACTGTCAATGTAGTTTCTCTTCAGCAATTTTCTTCTAACATTTTCTTTTCTCCAGCTGACTTTATTTTAAGACTGTAGCATATAATACGCATAACATACAAAATATGTATTAATCAACTTTATGTTATGGGTGAGGCTTCTGGCCAACAGTAGGCTCTTAGCAGTTAAGTTTTGGGGAGTCAGTAGTTCCGTATGCAGATTTTCTGCTTAGTGGGAGTCGGTGCCTCCAAGCCCCATGCTCAGGGGTCAACCGTACGTCCATTCACGTATTGTCTGATCCTGTCTCCTGTGAAGACGTGTTTCTACTCACAACACTTGAGACACTAATTGTGAGTTTTCCACACCAGACGGTTCTCCGGTTCTCTGTACTCTGACATTGGGTGTGGTGTCCCAACCCTCCAGATAGCTTCTGCCCAGCTTGGGGCCTGATCTGTACAGTAAGGAAAGTCGGATGGGGCACTGGCTTATTTTCCTTCAGAGGCAAATCTTGAGACAAAAAAAAAAAGGGCAAGTCATTCGGGAGTGGGAGGAATGAGCTCAGAAGCTAGAGCGAAGGAGAGATGACGGAGAAGGGAAGGAAGCCGGTCACGGTGCAAGTCACCACTGTGGGAAGGAGAAAGCGTGTGAATGACAAGCCTGTGGCCGAGAGCAAACCTCCTCTTCAACAATTGTTTCCCCTTCGGTCTCCCAGAGCTGCTAACACGTGGTTTACATCTTCTCCACTGTAATTCATGCGCTCGATACTGAGTTTTAAATATGACTGAGAAATGCCTTTGCAGAAACAAGGACACCGGGAGCCACGCTGAGTTGGTTCACGGCGTTGGCACGGTATCAAACATGGTCGTGGGGGTTCCAACAGCCATGACGGTTGGGTCATCACCGTCTTGAACTGGTTCCCTCAAATCAGTCCCTGACATGGGGGCTTCTCCGCAAGTGATTGTTGGAAGGAAAGCGCTAAGAGGAGGGAGAGGACAGGAAGCAAGGCTGGGGAAGAACGCTCAGCCAGCACGAGGTCCGGGTAGAGACCAGCTTCAGCCTGACACCACACAGAGCTCTGGAGAATGAATGGCACCAGGGAGTTGATCCCACATTGAGGAAAAGAGGCATTTGTTCCCCCATGTCAGCTAGTGACTGGGGATTGTTGGGGTGGAGTGGAGGAAAGAGCCCATTCAGCCAAGGCCAGTTCTCCTAGGAGCCAATTGGAGCCAAAACCCACAGCAGCTGGGCAATGGGTCCTCTCAGCGCACCTGCTGAACGGGATCTGGGCAGGGCACCATCTGCATTGCAGGACAGTGTGCTAGGCACTGTGGGGGCAAAGAGGTAGAAATGAGAGACCGCCACAGTTGGCCCTCCAGGGAGCCCTCCAGGGCCAGTTCCAGCCCTTTTGTTATTAATTTCCCACTGTTAACAGTCCCCAAAGTCACTTCTCCACCACTGCCCCCCACCACAGAGTCCTCCGCCAAGTAACTATCCGGAGGGGGCTTCCCAAGACCATCCTCCAGTTTCAATAATTCACTAGAAGGACTCACAGGACGCAGAAAAGCTGTCGCACTCACACTTATGGTTTATTACAGTGAAAGGATACAGAACAAATCAGCAAAGGGAAAAGGGGGGCAGCCAAACTCCTGGAGAAACCAAGCACAAGATTTCAGGGGGTCCTCTCCCAAGAAAGTGGCATGGGGACATGCTAATTCTCCCAGCAACAACGTGTGACAACCAGTGAGTCTCATCCCAGCCTTGGCACCCAGGATTTTTATTAAGGATCAGTTCAGCTGGGTAGGACCATGGAACTAATGTGAGTTCCTGTGTGCCCAGCACCTCGGCCCAGGCGCCAGTGGGAAAACACGGCCTTGGCCTCAGCTGTACAATAGAGAATCCAAAGGCTCTGGAATCACTCCCAGGAGCCAGCCAAGGGCCAGTCCTTCTGAAGACAGGCCGCGCTTTGGAATGTACAGGGTTTGAGAAACGAGGACCTGGGAAGTGAACCCTCTTCTACAGGGTAAGTCTAT